CGCAAGGTCAAAGAGCTGTCCGTCATTGACGGCCGGAGGGCCCAGAACTGCATCATCCTTCTCTCCAAGTACGTGCTGGTCCTGTGTCTGTGGTCCCTACCCCAGGATAAAGTCCTGGTGGGGGAATGGCCCCGCCAAGGAGCAGAGGCCAAGATGGGACTAGAGCAAAGGAAGGTGGTATAATTGATGGCCTGCGGGAGAGAGGTGGAGAGGAATGGGCTGGTGGCTAGCCTTCCCTTCCCTATTGTCTCCTGGGATGGAAGGAATGGCTCTGATCTAGAACCTTCTCCTGGGAACAGCAGTGTGGGGCTCTGTAGACAGGAAACTGCCCAGTCACGAGGCCCCTGACCAGCCTGGTCAGCGTCTGGCAGCTGAGTTGCTCTAAGCCCACAGAAAGCCCCTCTTGGCTTAGGCCACAGAGCAGCATGATCTCAGCCCCTAAGCATTTCCCGCGGCTGCAGAACAAACAGGGCAGTATCTGCACTAACAGCACAGCTTCTGTGTGGACCTCCTGCCGCAGCAGGTCACAGGGCACTGCCTCCCATGCTATTCTTAGTGCTGCCCCTGCCGCCTCAGGGACATCTACCCCCTTTCCTCCCATACAACCCTGGGCCTCAGTTTCTCCTACTTGATGGTGGGGGAAACTTCTACATCCTGAGGGTTCCTCATGGCCATACATGTGGAGGGGATGGGAAGGGCCATGGGGGTGGCTCTTCCTCTCCTGGGTGGCAAGGTGGTTGAGATAGCTGTGTGGGAGTTGAGGCACTGTCAGACACTGAGAGGCAGCCCGTGTTCTGAGGAGAAAGTGGCCGGAAGTTGCCTCCAGTTGCTTACTGATAGGCCTGTCCTCCCGTGGAGTGCTGGACATTTTTTAGGAATGAGAGGAGGAAAAGAACCAGAAACCCTTTTCCTATCTCTTTAGTCTGCACTGAGGACATTCCTTTTACTCCCAAATATCCCTATCCGCTCCGACACAGTCTCAAGCAAGAGACCAGAGATTCAAACCTCTATTTAGAGACTGAAAATGCCCATTGTCAAGTTTGAGTGAATCCTGTTAGTCTGCAAAAGCTTTCCAGAGCAGGTGAAGAGAAAGCATCATCAAATATACTCCCGGGTACTGTTAGGGAGAAGGGGGAGGCTGAGGCTGTATCCTTTGGAGAAGAAGGTTTGGGGACTGTCTTGGATATAAGAGCCAGGCCAGACTGCTCAGGCAGTGGGATTTCTCCTTAGGTTGAAGCTCTCTAATGAGGAGATCCGGCAGGCGGTGTTGAAGATGGATGAGCAGGAGGACCTCGCCAAGGACATGCTGGAGCAGGTGAGGACCCTCGTGGGAAGGGAAGGGGAGCTGAACATGGGGCCAGCCATCCCCCTTCCTGACAGCCCCCAGAGAGGTTGGGGAGAAGGTTTATAGAAACTTTTCTGGGCCCACCTTTCTAGGGGAGGGCTGGAAAAGACTGTCTGGCCTGGCTCTTATGCCCAAGACACAGCCTTTTCCAGGAGTCCTTGAGGCTTCTCAAAGAAGATTTAAGGTACAATCCTCCAGGGGTCCCAAGGCAAAATCAGAGTGACCAATTGTCATATCTTCCCCAAATTTCTTCCACCTCAATTTGTTGTGTCCATTAAAAGAAAATCTAGAAAACACTAACAACACTACAATCAGTTAGACTTTATTAAAATGAGGAACGTCTGTTTATTGAATGGTGCTATTACTGAGAAGACAAGCCACACAGCAGAAGAAATCTGCTGTAAGTGTATCTAACAAAGATACCATGTTCAGAACAAAGAAGTCTACATATCAATGGGCAAATGAAGAAGAAATCAACTTGAAAATGAACAAAAGACTTGCACAAACAATTCATGAAAGAGGAATTTCAAATAAGGCTATGAAAAGGTGTTCAGTACTATTAGTCATCAGAAAAATACAGTCGACCACAAGGAGGTGGCACAACACACCCACCAGAGTAGCTAAAATTAAAAAGACTGACATTTTCTGGCAAGGATGTGAAGCAATTGAAATTCTCACGTAGCACAATCATTTTGGAAAACTATTTGGCAGTGCCTATTAAGGCTAAACATATAACTTACCTTATTGACTAGGAATCCCATTATTAAGTATACATTCTAGAGAAGCCAGTATAAATACTGAGTAAAACACACACACAAGAATCTAGTTGACCCTTGAACAATGTAGGAGATAGGGTCACCAAGTCCCCATAGTTGAAAATCCCTATAAGATTTTTGACTCCCCAATAACTTAACTACTAATTGCTTACTAGTGACCTTACTATTAACATAAGCAGTTGATTATGTTCTCTTCTATGACACTTGTTCTCTGTGTTATATGTGTTATATATTGTATTCTTACAGTAAAGTCAGCTAGAAAAAAGAAAATCATAAGGAAGAGGAAATGTATCTGCTATTCCTTAGTGAAGTACATCATCATGAGGGTCTTCTCATTGTCATCACGTTGAGCAGGCAGAGGAGGAGGCAGAGGAGGGTTGGTCTTGCTGTCTCTGGGATGGCAGAGGCAGAAGGAAATCTGTGTCTAAGTGGACGCACACAGTTCCACTCCGTGCTGTTCAAGGATAAGCTGTATCTATGGCAACTTTATTTATAAAATCCCCCCCAAACCAACTGTCCATCAATAAGAAACTGAATATATAGACGTGGTACACTCAAAAACCAGAATACTGCTCAACAATAAATAAACGCAAACTCCTAATATGAGGTAGATGAACTTAGGCATTACATTAAGGTTCATCTACCTCATATTCTCCTCATACTTTCTGAAAGAAACCAGACACGAAAGGGATTGTGGAGCGTGAGTTCAGGAAAAGGTGAATCTAACCAGGGGTCATGGAATGCAGTTGGGAGCCTGTATTCAGCTGAGTCACTTATTGAAGTCATGCAGGGTAACTTTCTGGGGAGGTGAAAATGTTCTGTGTCTTAATCTGAATGGTGGTTCTGTGGATGGAGAGTTTTGACAAAACTCATTGAACCGTACATTTAGGATTGGTGCACTTTATTTTAGGTAAATTATACCTCACTAAAATTGGTTTAAAAAGGAAAAAAAAAAACATTGAGCTGAGCAGTTAAGAATAGTTTAATTCACTTGCATATGCAAGTTGTATCTCAATTTTAAAACCTAGGGGGAAAAAAAAAGAAAAAAGTTTAGAGTTGGGTGCCCTCTTCAGGCAGATGAAACACAAATGGGTCCACACAGTTGGCGCCCCTGTCTGTCAAGGTCCACTCTCATCCTGAGCAGAGTCAGTGTGTGGCTTGTCACTCCCTGCACCCCATCTCTGCTACTCACCAGTTGCTTGTGTGGCTTGCACACGCTCTTTGCAGCTTCTCAAGTTCATCCCTGAGAAAAGTGATATTGACCTCCTCGAGGAGCACAAGCATGAGATTGAGCGGATGGCCCGCGCTGACCGCTTCCTCTATGAAATGAGCAGGTTGGGGCTGCGGGCATGGCAGGGGTACTGGAGTCTGGGGGGTTCTGCCAAGGGAAAGGGGAGGGAGGTGGGCAGGCACAAGCAGAGGCTGGGGGGTGGGAGGGTGGGAGCTACCTCTTGATGTAGCTGACCCTGGCCCTAGGATTGACCACTACCAGCAGCGACTACAGGCCCTCTTCTTCAAAAAGAAGTTCCAGGAGCGGCTAACTGAGGCCAAGCCCAAGGTGGAAGGTAGGACTGAGGGTTGGGGGAAGGCCTAGAGGACAGAGGTGTCTGGGAAAGCCAGGGTGGTGGGAGCCAATGCATAGGGCCAGAGGACGTGCCTCTGTTAGTCTCAACCCAAATGAAAAACCAAAGTCAAAGACAAAATTTGAAACTGTGATTATTGTTAAGATGTGCATGTGTGCCAACCAGGTACTGTGTTCCCTATGACTCAGCATTTAGACTCTGCAAGGTGGGGCATCTATTGACATCTGCCCCAGAAGGGAACAGAGATGTTGAGAAGACAATGATGATAGCCAGCACCTAGGACAGTGCCTGGCACAAATCAAACTTTTACCCTACTAGAGAAGTGCTAGATTCATAGAAGACCTCTGGACATATTTTTTTTAACCTGTAAGCTATTCAGAAAGATCCCTGGAGGTTTCTGATTTTCTGAGTCAGGGAACCCCTCCACCCAGGCCTGTTTCCAGATGAGAAGTTTGTAATTCAGTGAGAAGCAGGTGCTAAGCACTGTGTGAAGCAATTTACAGACATGGTCTTCTTTGGTCTTGACAATTCCATGGGCTGATGCTATCATCGACCTCTGGTTCTCTCTTCTTTGTTAGCTACCTGAGGCTGTGTTACTAGTGGATGGTGGAGCCAGGATAGAAATGTCAATGCTGTTCTTCAGAATCAATCCCTGCCCTCTAATCCTCCTGTGTTGCCCAGAGGCTGCCTGAAGGGATGACGTGAGAAGGAGGGGCATATGGAGCTTGGGGGAGAGGCTGGCGGTCAGGAAGAGGTGTGCGCCCAGAAGGGAGCAACCAGGAGAGGCTCTGAGGCTTATTTGTGTTGAGGACAGGATCTGCAGGGCAGAACAAGACAGCCTGTGTCCAGGATGCTGAGGGTCCCCAGCTGGGGGTAGAACAGAGCATGCCTCATCCCCAACCCTGGTGCTGGATACCAGGGGTAGTCAGCACTCCCTGAGGTGCCCGGTCCATAGCATAGCTTTTTGTGGAACCCACTGAGCTCCTTTGGAGAAGATTCTGGGGACAGGTGGTACCTTGAGAGCTAAAGGCAGACATTTTCCATAATCAGACCATATTCCCCCTCATGCCACACAAAAGCACACAGCAAGGACTGTAGGTGGTGATCAAACACACACACAGCAGGGACCATAGGTGGTGACGTAGATAATGGGTCTGAGGGAGAAGGAAAGATGAGTCTGGCGGTATTTCCTGCCCCGGTGATGGACGGATGCTTACCTTCATCATGACTGTATCGTCTGCTGCAGACTGCCTTTGGAGCACAAAGCACAATTAAGGGGTATAGCCCAAGACACGTATCCTCAAGGGTTTGCATCTTGGGTCACAAACAAGCAAATGTGGACAATTGCCACTTGGAGCTATGGAACTACAGGTGCTCACCCACTGGGAATGTTTAATCTCAGATAGCTTCCTGTTCCCAGAAGTCCACTGCTAGGCTCTCCCTACAGACTAATCAGTGGATGCTCAGGAAAGCGTCTCCTTTGACACCAAACTCGGCAGAGTGAGATGTGTTTGGGATGGCAGAAGGTGCTGGGGAAAGTTGTCCTGTAGCTCTGGTCTATCATACTTGCTTGGCTATACAATGGCTGCTGTCCTTGAATGGTCCAGAGGTCTCTTCCTTCCAAGAGCTGGTAGAATGGTAGAATCTGATCTGTGTGCTTTCGTGAGGGTGGAGGCAGAGGACTGTGCAGGGTTGTAATTCCTATTCTTCCTCCCAGATCTCCTACAAAGTATTCCTGGGAGAGCTAAGATCCCAGCTGGGTGAGGTGATGCACTATTGACACCTGCCCTCCCAGCCTCCAGCAGGGTCTCTGGGTCAGTTTGCCAAAAGCCAGTTCACCAAATTCAACACATTTACCAGTTCTTCCATAAATATATTTATGAACTTATTCCTTTTCAGCATATTCTTCTTATGAATATGTTTATTGCTGAACATACCAAAGTTATCGATTCTTATTATGAATATATTCACTGAATATAGTCAAGATGAATATGGTTGCAAATATAATATTCTTATGAATATATTCATGAATATATTATTCTCATGAATATATCTAGTGTCAGGATTGCATATGGGGTTTTTCCCATTTACACTGATTTCCTTTGAACTCTTGTCATTTTCTGTTTGCCAACATTTTAGTATTTTTAGGATGTTTCCTTTGCAAATTTTTCAAATAGCATATCAACCTTAGAAAAACTATCCCAGCTGATATAAATTGCCAGCAACTTTTCCAAGTAGGTTTTTTAAAATAAACTTCTTTTTTTTTTTGAGACGGAGCCTCAAGCTATCCCCCTGGGTAGAGTGCCATGGCATCACAGCTCATAGCAACCTCCAACTCCTGGGCTCAAGAGAGTCTCTTGCCTCAGCCTCCCAGGTAGCTGGGACCACAGGCGCCCACCACAACGCCCGGCCATTTTTTGGTTGCAGCCATCATTGTTTGGCGGGCCCGGGCTGGGGATTCGAACCCGCCACCTTAGGTGTATGTGGCTGGCACCTTAGCCGCTTGAGCCACAGGCGCCGAGCCTAAAATAAACTTCTTAATTGAAATACAAAATGCTTCTAGAAAAGTATGCAAATCATAATATTCCTACTTGATGAATCATTATGGACTGATGCACCTGTGTAATTGACACCCAGATCAAGAAATGGAATGTTTCCAATCTCCCGGAGCCTTCTCCACGTCCCCCTGCCCAACCTTTACCCCCTCTCCCTCCTTTCTAAAGGTAACAACTATCTTCTAGTTAGTTGTTTAGTTGTTTTGAACTTTATGTAAATGGAGTAATATCATATGAGTAATTTTATGCTGACTTCTTTTGCTCAATGCTATGGTCATGAGTAATTCCTAGTGTTACTTCAAGCCGTGGGATATTCATTTCCAGTGCTGCATTTTGTTCCATTATTCCATTTATTCTGTTATCTGAATATACAGTAAGTTACCCATTTGATCCGTAATTTTTTAAAAACTAGAAACAACCAAAATATCCATCAAAGGTAATGCTGCTTTTGGGTCACAGAGTATGCACATGTTCAACTCAGAATCTGCTGACAAATCTTACTTATTATTAATTTTCACAGCTTCTTTTTCAGTTCTTTATTTCTAACTACTTTTGAAGTTTTCTGCAGGCTTTTAGTCGAGTGGTTTTCATTTTATCGTCACAGCGATAAGGAATGTTCAGTTTGGCATAAGCCAAAGATCACAGGATAATTTGGTCTTCTGATCACCACATTCAATATTCAGAAAGCATATTCCATAACTAGTAACCAAAATACTGGTGCAGGATTTGTTTCTCACTCCTGCGACTCCACTGGAAATATAGAGCAGCTGAGGAAGGTCCAGAGCATGCAATGCTGATGCTTTGGTTACTCTTTACTTCATTTGTGGTACTAGCAAATGTCATGTCAGGCATTGGGGGAAGATGGCTAAAGATGCCTTAAGGTTGGAATAATCCTGAAAATGATATTCAATAGGATGTCAAGTAACTTATCCAATCTAAGACATCATCGACTGTAAAATACATCATTATTTTATAGAACAAAATTAATATGGGTATTTTTATAATTGATGTTACTAATTGATAGATTTTCTTTCTAAAAAAATCAATACAGCATTTCAAAATAGGCAGAAGCAATCCCATAACATGTAAAATGCTGAAATTAAAATTTTTAGGTGCTATGTTTAGAAAAAGTAAAAGAATTATATTCAGAAGATATTCATAGAAAGAAATTATATTAAGATTAAGATTAGTAATCTTAAGATTAATCTTAAGAAGCAAAGATCTTCTTAAACATGTTTTCAGGAAAAGTTGGCACATTGTGAGAGTGGGTTCACTGGCGAATTGGCCCTGGTGAGTTGTCTGCTTCCCCGGGAGGCAGGTGAATGTGGGATGTGAAGTAGATGGGTCTTCTGAGGAGCAAGGACAGTCTTGGCCCCTCTGAGAGTTGAAGACTCTTGATGGCCCTTTCTCTGGAAGGAGCATCTTGCAGGGGGAGCCGCTGCCCTGGCCTAGTCTGTGCAGGGCTCTGACAGGTCCCTCCTCCCCTAGCCATCCTGCTGGCCTCCCGGGAGCTGATCCGCAGCAAGCGTCTAAAGCAGATGCTTGAGATCGTCCTGGCCATTGGCAACTTCATGAACAAAGGGCAGCGTGGGGGTGCCTATGGGTTCCGGGTGGCCAGCCTCAACAAGATCGCTGACACCAAGTCCAGCATTGACAGGTAGGGACCACCCAGCTTCCTTAGCCTCCTCCCACCCCACCCTGGCCTCTCCCCTACTCCCTCTCATCCTTCCTCTGTTTCCCATCCTGAGATGTGTTGTCTGCTTCCCTTAACACCCTAACTAACTTCTCCCCAACTCTCATTGCCCATTTCCTGTCCTTTACCTCTGACTGGACTTTCATCCACAGAAACATCTCTCTGCTCCATTACCTGATCATGATCCTGGAGAAGCATTTCCCTGACATCCTGAACATGCCTTCAGAACTGCAGCATGTTCCAGAAGCTGCCAAAGTCAAGTGAGGGGTCCCCCTAAGACTTGCTTCTACTGGTGATCAGCTGTACTCTTGTCTGACTGTCCTCCTCCTGGGTCTACTCCGGGCTGACTAGGAATGGGTGGCGCCTCGGGGTCTGCTTCTGGGAGAACCAAATAAGGACAATTTGCTCTTAAATCCTTCTTTCAGAGATGCTTCCAGAAAACACCAATAGACGAGTGGGGAAGTGAGGATAGAAAGAATGCCATTAAGAAGAATGTTATTAAGCTGGTTACCACCATGGGCAATTGGAGCTTAATCCTACTAAGGAATGCTGGGAGATAGTGAAGAAAACCCCCTTCAGTTACCTCACCCAAAGGGCGATGTCGCCCGGGCTATCATGCAGCTTCTCCTGCCAGTCTTGGCTCTGGTGCGGGGGGAGAATAACTCTTTGACCATGGGTATAAGCAGATGGGGCTGGGCCTCAGAAAAGTGCTCACATCACTGGAAAGTCAAGGCCATGCTCTACAATGATAGTCCATGGAAAGATGGGTAGGGTATCAACAGCATTTGTTCAGACAAGAAATCAGACCCAAATGTATAGGTTGACAGACGCCACCTCTCAGAAATGTAGTGGCAAATGACTAACAGGTACTGAATGTTACTACGTGCAAAATGCATGCAAGAGTTTATAAGCATCCCTGGTGGTAATGAAAATAAATAAATGTAAGTCAGAGGCCATAGGTTTGGAAAGAGCTATAGAATATAAGCTTCACTACTATTATTTTATAGACACACAGACAGAAGCAGGTGGGGGGAGATGATTTGCCAGGGCCACACGAAGCTCAGGTCCACTGACTCCCAGGCCATTGTGTTCGGCACTGTCGTCTCCCTGGACCAGCTTCAGCTCCCCAAGTCTAGACCTAATGACCTTCCTTCTTGTCTCCTCACAGCCTGGCAGAGCTGGAAAAGGAGGTGGGCAACATCAGGAAGGGCCTGAGAGCAGTCGAGGTGGTAAGTACCTTATCTATGCCTGCCTGAGTTGAGGGCCGCTGCCAGGAAAAGCTGCTCATGCCACCTGTCACTCTTCAGTGGGGTGACAGAACACCTGGCAGTGAGCACAGCCTTAGAAAAGGGTGACTAGATTATGTGGAGCTTAAATTTAACCCCCTAAAAAGAGAACAGCAGAGACTATGTCCATGTCACTGTCCTACATGGTGTCTCTTCACCAGTGGAGTGGAATGAATCAGTAATCTGCCACATGCTTCAGCAGGGTGCAGCCAGATGGGAAAGAGGATCCTCATCCCTTGAAAGCTGGCCCAGTGTGGCAGTGGGCTGCTGCCCCTAGAAGCTTCTTCCCTATGTCTCTCTGCCTCTTCTGTGGGCCAGTGGGGGACCCAGGTGCTAACTCATTGCTGGAGGGAGTGGTGGTCTCCACCGCTCCTATTCTGATGGCATCTCAGCTGATACTATTTCTGGCCCTGGCACTAGTAGAGGAGTGAGGAAATGAGCCAGATTGGGCCAGTGTGGGGATGTTCCTGAGCCTTTGTACACTCTACCTCAGAACTGGAGACCCTTCCCATCTTCACTGTGGAGGGAGGGGTATGTAAGGGGAATGGCTTTGGAGGCAAAGGTCAAGTTAAATCTGAGAAAGAACCTTTTGTTGCCACCATGGAGAGATAGGGGCAGATTATTTCTAAATTTCCAATGTCATAGTCCTGTAAAGTGCTAATCAAAGTGTGGCCCATGGACCAGCAGCACTTGTGTCAGTGGCACTTGCGTCATCTGGAAGCCTCAGAAATTCATCTCTTTAGCCTGCATATGAATCACCTGAAGGTGTTGTTAAAGTGTAGCTTCTGCCCAGTGCTTCTGGAGTGGGGCCCCAGAGTCTGCATTTCTCACTATTGCCCAGGAGGTGCTGCTGATCCTGGATCACACTTTGGGTCACAAGGTTCTAGAGAACGAAAGAAGGCAGTGGTGTGCGAGGGAAGGGTAGTAGCAGGATGAGCTGCTGTTAACTCTCACAGTCACCCTTCAGATTGGGAGGTTTGGGGTGCTCCTTCTTCAAAAGGGCCCAGTGTTCCGGGAGTGAAAGGGTGGCAGACGTGGTGACCCTGCATCCCTGATGCTTATCCTGACACCTGTCTAAACAGCATTTTACTCTCCCTCCTCAGGAGCTGGACTATCAGAGGCGCCAGATGCGGGAGCCCAGTGATAAATTTGTCCCAGTCATGAGTGATTTCATCACAGTGTCCAGCTTCAGCTTCTCAGAGCTGGAGGACCAGCTAAATGAGGCCAGGGACAAGGTAAGGACACATCCAGTCCCCACTCTGACCCCAGCCTCACCCCCACGCCTATTGCTTTCCAATTCAGCTTTATCTAAACACAGATTCCTTCACCCATTCCTGCCACAAATGGCCGGGAAGGGACAGACCCAGAGTCACAGAACTTTGAGAAAAACATTTCCTCACTCCCACAAGACAAGCAATAATGGCAGACTGTGTAACGATCAGTCCTTTATCAGGTGTCAGGCACCATATTACATGTTTCAATGATTTGTCTCACCACCTATGTCATGGATTTGCTGAAAGGTTATTATCCCAGGTGACAGATGTGAACACTGAGACTCAGAGGAGTTAATTAACTAGGACTGGGATAGAATCCTGGCTGCTGCTCAGCCTTGGACTTGGCAAGCAGCTCTGCCTCTACCTGCTTCTCACATTCAGGTACATGGACACTAAGTATGGGGGTCTTATTAAATGCAGATTCTCATTCAGGAGGCCTGTGGTGGGGCTTGAGATTCAGCATTTCTCCCCAGACACACACCTGTTGCTGTCCACAGAGCACACTGGAGCAGTGAGGTCTTTGAGTGGTTTGAATAAGAGATAGTAGCTCTCAGTGGAAGTCAGAACAGTACTTGGCACATATAAGTATAGCTAGTCCTTTGGATCTGTTAACTAACTAAACCCCATAACACACTATGAAGTAGATTCTATTATTATCTCCATTTTA